ATTTGTTAAAGATTTAAAAATTTGATTACCCCAATTATTTTTTGTGATTTAATGATAACATATCAAAATAGGTTACACGGAGTCGTTTTATCATCTTTATTAAAACCTTTTAAAACACAGTTGTGGTAAATCTAATAAAGGTTTTTAAAGCACAGTTGAGGTGTAAAGAACACATTGATATAGATTTTGCAGTAGAGTTTTCTATTAAAAAAAAGTGTTTAAATGTCAATAAGGTATTTACTTTAGAGTGTTCCATTGTAAAGTGTATTATACTTTCAAAAGTTTTCAATGTTATTAATGGAATTTGTACTAAATTATAGAAAAATTGGTCAAAATAAAAGTTATAAATAATTATATTATCCTTCAATTAAAATAAGAATAAACTCTGTATAATTAATATCAACTTGTTAATTGACATTTTGTAGAATGCTTTAAAAATATTTATTTATATATTTTTTATCAAAATAAAATATTTAAATATTTTTATCTATGATATAGTAAATTAAAATTTTAAAATAAATAAAATTCTTTACAACATTAAAATGATGTTTAACTCACTTTTGGAGCAATTATCCTTCCACATTAAGGGACACTACCATATTCTTTTCTTAATCATCTTATCTCTCAAATTATATTAATCATTATATAATCTAAAAAATAATGTGTCCATATATTATAAATTACTTTATATTTTCATTTATATAAGAATGTACATATATTATAAAATATTTATATTTTGTATTTTCTTTTGCATGAGATAAAAAGTTTTAGTGATTTAATTATTGAATCTTTGAATTTGTATCATTATATTTATGTAATAAAAAAATAATTTGAGTCTTTAAATATTCATGAAACTAAATATACAGAGATATATAATTTTATTATTGAATATTTGAATAGGTATGATTCATTAAAAAATAATAAATATAATATAAATATTAATAAAATATTTATAATATAATAAATTATAATAACAACAACATTTTATATTTTTTTTAAGCTTTTATGCGAAAGATCACAGGTTTTTTTTTTCTTAAACAGCATATTTTACATAATTTCAACATGTTCTATGTTTTATTTCATAATTTGAAACAGGTGAGAACGGTATTCAAATTAGAGATTTTTTTGTGTACATCTTCAGTTTAAGAGTGTATGAAAATTTAGTAACATTACTTCTACAAAAGTTAATAAAAAATATAAATAAATAATTATAAAAATGTGAATCCTTAGAAAGATTATCAATTGGAACAAAATTGATAAAAATATAATATAAATCATGTAAAAGGTGATGTGGCATAAAACTTTCCATTTTGAGTAAAATAAGAAGTTTAATAAGTTACTTACCAGAATTACACTTAACATAACTTAAAACGTTTATGGTATTATTCTTGTAATTAATATTCTTCTCATGAAACAGATTTTACTTTTCTTAAACTATATATTATACCATTAAAGAATACTTTCTTTTAATGTATTTAATTGATTATAAAAATTAGCTTCAGACAACTTGAGAGAAACAGAAGCCAAATATATAGATAAAACCAGAGCCGCCCATAGAAAAAAAAAAAAGGTTGCGATTCCATCTCTCATCAATAATTGCATGTGCATGGATTAGCCTCGTTCATACATCTCTTCTTAAACCCATTATCATATTCATTCATTTACCATCTCATGCTTTAAAATATTCTCAAACCCTTATCCTAATATTTGTCTTTTATTAATCAATAGAATAAATATTAATCATAATCACACGTTTCTAATAGCCATCACCCCTGTAGCCTAGGAAGATGCAAATTTTTGGATTTTTGTTGAAATGATACGAATGAAAATAAAATCTATGTACTGTATATATATAAAATACAATAAAAATTAAAAGATAAACTAAATTTAGAGTATATTTTTTTCAAATTTTTTTTAATATGATATCAAAATTAGTTATTGTTAGAAAACAAAATTTGTTATCTATTGAATGTATAGTTTAATGAATTTAAAATATATATTTATTACATTTTATAAACTGATTTGGTAGGATTAAATTAAGTTTAACGTTTATTTATTAATAATTTTTTAATCTTTTAATTAACTAATTTATTATTTATATATATAATTTATAAATGTATTTATTGTGAGGAGAAAAAATGATGAAGAAAAGAAAAAGAAGAAAAAAACAAAGAAGGGATCTGTTAAAGTTGAGAGTAAAGATGAAAAGAAGATTTTAACACACCAAAAAAATGCTGAAATTTGGGTTTAGATGATGATGACTTTTAGCTGTAATCCAAACAGGAAATGGAAGAAAATAATAATGAAAAGAGGTGCCTAATCTGACTGAGTCTGGCATTGACTAAGCATCGGTTACCTTGTTCAGTCAAGGTTTCTCACGCGTTGAACCTTGACGCTTTTCCGCCACATTCACGCATTCTTACACTCAACTTACACACACTTTTCTTTCTTTAATCCAAAAACCACTTTCCACGCAACATCTTCCCATACTTCTCTCATCTTCATATAAAATCTCACTCTTCACACTCTCTTCTTCAAACCCATCAACCATAACAAAATTCAAAACCCACTTCCAAAGCTAATCATTCTTAAAGTTCAAATCTTGAAATATGGGTGTGTTCAGTGAAGACCTCAATCCAATTGTGATCCGTGAAGTATGGGCATCCAATATAGAATCTGAATTCGAACTCATCCGGGAGTTAATTGATCGCTACCCTTTTATCTCCATGGACACTGAGTTTCCTGGAGTGATTTTCCGGCCGCAGGTTGACCCTACCAAACCCTACAACCACCACACGCGCCGCCCTGCCGACCACTACCGTCTTCTCAAGACCAACGTTGACGCGCTCAACCTCATCCAGGTCGGCCTTACACTGTCTGACTCAGCCGGCAACCTCCCTGGCGATGCCGGAAATCGCTTCATCTGGGAGTTTAATTTCCGCGACTTTGACGTGGCGCGTGATGCTTACGCGCCGGACTCCATCGCACTTCTCCGCCGCCAGGGGATCGACTTCGAGCGCAACACCACCAACGGTGTGGACTCAACTCGCTTCGCGGAGCTGATGATGTCTTCAGGACTCGTGTGCAACGACGCCGTGAGCTGGGTCACCTTCCACAGCGCTTACGATTTCGGGTATTTGGTTAAGATCCTTACCCGACAGGATTTACCGACCCGGTTGGAGGAATTTTTAAACGTTGTGAAAGTGTTCTTTGGAGATAACGTTTACGATGTGAAGCACATGATGAGGTTCTGTGATACACTCTACGGTGGTTTGGATCGGGTTGCTCGGACGCTTAACGTGGACCGCGCCGTAGGGAAGTGCCACCAGGCTGGGTCAGACAGCTTACTGACCTGGCACGCGTTCCAGAAGATTGTGGATCTTTATTTTGTTAAGGATGAACACCAAAAACATGCTGGTGTGTTGTTTGGATTAGAAGTTCTGTGTTAATTAAAAATTTATTATAAACATAAATAATAAAAATTCAATTGATTGATTATTTATTGGTTTGTTGTTGTTGTTGAAGGTCTAACTTTCTGCTTGAATGCAAATTAAAGCTTGACTATTAAGCAAATTAAAGTGTTAAGCAAGGTATTGTAAATGGCATAATGGCATGTGGGAAGTTGTCAATCAATGAAAACTTCACAATGAAGTAAATTACAGTGTTACGCAAAGTGGTGAATACTATTATTCTTTAAGGGGTTGATTTTCATTTATCAGCATGATCATGTGCAGGAACTAGCATTGTGATTGAAAATGAGTTTCTGTTCAACTTTGTAGGATGTTTCAGAACATAAACTGAAGAAAACTCTGCAGCTGCTAATGGAAATTGTTTTTACTTGTTTCATTGGTTTCAGCCTACTGTTGGCTATTGCCAGAGATATATTTTTGAGTTGGTGTTGCTTAGTAGAGTTAACAGAATCCAAGGGTTCCTGCGGCTGTAAGTAGATTGTGCTGAATTTGTGGATTGTGCTTATGTTTGTTTATACGTTCTTACATTTTTAATGCAATTCTTCTCATTACTTTGATAGATGTAAACAGTTAAACATTCTGAATGTAGAATGATAGTGGTAAACTCCATTCATTTTACAGAAACTCTTGGTTAAAGTTCTTGCAAACAAATTCTACCAGCATGCCATTTTTCAGACTCATCATAATATGTTTTTAAAGTAGTATGTTGGTTGTTCAAACTGGTATGACATTTAGCTATTGGTTAAGTTAAATTAGATTAAAAGTTTATTATTTGTCGCTATTTTCAATATATGTTATGTGTATGGATTGTTTTCTTCACACCTGCAGCTTTCTAATAGTGTATTTCATTATCCCCTTATTTCAAATGGTTGTGGCACTGAGCAAAATATACTTGTGATTGTTGTATGATCTTAAGGAAATCTATGTTTATGAGTCAAAGAATCTGCTGATTGCAGGAGCGGACTCTGAAGTTACTTTTAAGGTTTCTTTAAAGAATTCCTAGTTTCATGGACTCAGATACGAGACAAGTTGGCATAATATGCATATGTTTTTGTTTAATGCGTGCGTTGTTTGACCACTTACTTCCTTGAACTTTGCAACTTGTAACTTAGGTTTATTTTTAATTGGATTTTAGTTTCTAAATTTAGTACTATCAGTTTTGCTTCCTTTTCTGATACCACATAATGGTTTCTTGGATCTTCTCTCCGATGATTTGGCTGCAGATATTTGTTGCAGATGTTCGAAAAATTAGTCACTGATTAGTCTGGTTTCCAGTGTCATTCTGAAGACATTTTCTCTTTAATTGTGTTGTTGGATTAAAGAAGTAAAAGATATGCTTAAGGAATGGTGCGAAAAGGTATTGTTCTTCCATTTTTTGATGCTTATATTTGTTGTTCATGACAGGGGAAATGAATCATAGTTTCTATTCAGACCATCATGAGTTTGTGGTCAAATTGGTTAGGTGTATGTATTTTTTTGCCCTGTTTCACACCAATACGTTGAAACTTTGTGTCCTCTCTTGTTTTCGTGTATTTTCACATACAAAGTTTGACAATTTGGCTACAAGATTCAATCAAGTTTTTCCAAAATCATTTTATTTAGCACTTTGAAAAGGAATGTATTCGAGATAGAAAAAGTTGTGCCTTGGAAGAATTGAACTTATTTGTATAGAAACGGAAATTAAGTTATTTATTGCACTGTCAAAAACATCTTTGTTTAAACAAAAACGCTCATATCAGTAACGATGTTGCAGAGATTCAGTTTTAATTATCATAGCCTAAATACTAGTAACCTGAAACCCCATATCGAAAGTATATTATATTTCAAGATATTAATTAAGAAAAAAAAATTAAGTACATTATATTTTCAAAATAGTAGTCAAGAAGTAAATTAAGTTTAATTTCAATTTTATCAAATCGATTTCTGATATGATGTTTGCACCTGTTATTTATATAATGTATATTGACTTTGTTTTAATAGATCCAATAGACTTAATGGTGTATATACATGGAGTCTGAGATTAAACATCAACGATAATAGTCTGAAAATGAAACAAAGTTTTGATGTTATATTAAAAAAATAGATTTTAAATTTAATTTGATACGTGATTATAATGTTCGAACACGTTTATATATTATAAATTTGTTTCATCTATATCCACGTAGAATTTTCAATCATTATACTTTCAAGATATTAATTAAGAAAAAAATTAGTATATTATACTTTTTAAAATAATTGTTAAGAAAAAGATTTTAAATTTAATTCAATCAATTAGTTTTATCTTTAATTAAATATAAAATTTTCTACATAATTTTTTACATCAACATATATACATATCAAGTCTAAATATTGGTTATCTTATATATAATAAATAAATAATTAGATTTAATAAACTACAAAATTTAATAAAACATACTCTAAAGGTTCATGGTAATATCATGTTAAAAAGGTTTAAACTTAATTTAAAATTTAACCTTATAAAATTTATTTATAAAATAAAATTTATATTTATTTGTTTATATATTGTAAATTAATTTCATTTTTATCTATAATATATAGAACTTTCAACCATAGTCATTAATAAAATAAAAGTTGAAAAATATTATGTAATTCAATTTTTTTAAAATCAATCGAATTAGTTAAAGGCATCAAGCAAAGTGTGGAATGTTTGGACCTCGAAATCTGAAAAACGATAAAAAAATATAAAATAAATAAACGTGTATGCAGGATATAATGTATATTAAATAGCGGCCAGACATAATTTGACCTTATTTTAGTGGATAGATATTCTGAATATATTATTAACGCGTCCAAGTTTCACGTGCTTCTTAATCTTTATGGCATGTTTTGAAGATTCAAAGCAGGTAATGATATGAAGGTCAAGCTTACACAACCATTAACAAACACCTCGTTGAATCAGTCATTGGCCCTTTAGAATGATATTTTAGAACAAGAGATTTGTCTTTAGGTTGTTGACATTTTAAATAAGAAAGTTTAGGTCACTCCACTGCTTTATATTTAAAAAGTTTTATTAATTGATATTTTTTTAATATGAAATATTTAGAAAAAAATTATAATTGTATATATTTTAAATTAGAATATTAAATATTTTTTATTAGAACTAAAATATTTATTAAGTTTGTAAATAGTAATAAATTAAAGTTGAAAAAATTAGAAAATATATTTTAAAATTTTTTTAAAAATATTTTAAATGTTTTTTTTTACTTTTGTTTAATTCTAATTATTTTTTTATACATTAGTAAAAATTATAATACACTGCTTAAATCAAATTATGCAACAAATATAATAATAATTAAATTTGTTAACAAGTATTTGTTAGCATTAAACTGAAGAGTATAAATTTTGATGATGTCGCAGAAAGATCTTCATAAAAACTTGTTTTTATATTAAAAATTTTATAAGTTAGTAGATTGATGGATAGGATATAGTTTATATTTGATTCTATGTTTTGTTTCACTTAGGTTATCTAGTTTATCTTAAAATTTGTTTTGAATCCGAAAACCTAAACACTTAGGTTATCTAGGTTATCAATAATTAATTATGACTTGCCATAATTGATTATCAATAATTAATTATGACTTGCCATATTTTTAAGCAAGTTTTTTTTTACCGTTCTGCATAATTTGATTATCACACACGTTAATTAGTTGACAATGGATTTTTGGAGTGAAATATCTATAAATTAGATTGCGACTCTCGTCCTAAAATACAAAATACGAAATAAGTGTATTTCGGAAAATCTTATTTGCAGTGTGTGCGGTGATAAGTGTTATAGGGTTTGCTGAACCCTTGTGCTATGACTTTGAGAACTTGGTGTGTTGGCATAGAGCGAGAACTTTCATAAGGAGTGTGATTGAGTGCCTTACTGTCGGCATAGAGCGAGAACTTTTACAGGGAGTGTGATTGAGTGTTATTGTTGTTGTTGAGTTGAAAGTCTATCATCCTTCGTGAAGTATTCGAAGGAGGTAGGTGTTCATCCTTTATGAAGATTCAGAAAAGATGTTCATCCCTTATGGGTCAAGGGGAAGTGAGTTTCATCTCTTAGGGGTAACAAGAGAGGTATTCTAACATTTCTGTGCAATTTTCTCTCAACCTTACTCTTTAATTTGTTTTAAGAAATTTTTATATTTACTTGAAAAAATTATTAAAAGAGATAAGAAATCAATTCACCCCTTTGTTGGTTGAACGCGTTAAAGTGATAAATGTATTAAATCAAACAAGTGATAAAGTGAATAAGTTTCAATATATTTTTAAAAAATTCTTGTTATTTATTATTATTTACTGATTTAAGCGAAAAAATTTGAAGTAATGAAAATTATTAATTTGTAAAAAAAATAAATTTAATTTCTAAAAAGTGATGAAATTGATTAAATGAAATATAAGACTTCCCTAATTGGATCATTTGAATTTTCTGATCCAATTCAATGTAAAAACATTAAACAATATACCTATAATTTCCAGACTAACATTTACAGTAATATAAGTACGTTAAAGTAATTTTTTTCTCCTCCTCCGACACTTGTATATCCATATCTCCATTAGTTACTCCACCCTTCACTGCTTGTGCTTATGTTTGATTGTGTATCCTCTGCCACACTTTGGTATATTTCTGCGGTTTCCTTTTCACCGATACTCTAATTTCTGCATCTGTTTCGCTTGCTGTGTTTACTCCACCCGTCCTTCTCCGATACTTTGGCCTATAAAGATGTAGCTTCATGTTCCCGATCCAGATACTATCGAATTGCTTTTGTAGAGCTGCTGGATTTGGAACTCTGTAGTATCTCACAAAGTCAAACCGCTGGCCTCTCTGGTTTAATCTCCCAGCAATGAAAATATCTTGTACCTTTCCCCATTTTTGGAAAATTCTCAGCATTTCAAGCTCTCCATGACTAGATGGGAAATAGGAAAAGAAAAAAGCCGCCGGTTCCATTAATTGTTATGCTGGAAATGGAATGACTTGAGACAATGGTTGGATAGTGTGATGGTGAGGAATAGGTTGTGTGGGAGCCACACACCAAGGGATTCAGGAACTTTAACTCGTTTAATTATTTAAAGAAGAGATAAGCAGTAGAATGCATATGAGAACATGTAAATATATTTATTTTTGTTTTTATTTTAATTAAAAAAAATCAGATATTATTAATATTTGTATTTATTTAGTCAACTTATTTTTTTTTTAAATCGAAGACGGGTTCGGATAATATCATGAATAAAATGAAGATTAATCTATAACTATATATATAAAGAAGATACACTTTTTTTTGTCCTCTTTTATTTTTTCAATTTTATCTTCTTAATTACAATTTTTTAATTTAAATAATTATTTATAATAAAAAATTATTTTTCAGTTTTATCCTAACTACATTTTTTAATTTGAATAATTGCTCATTATAAAAAAATTATTTATTTTTTATTAACTATTTTTAACTCAAATGATTATTCATAGTAAAAAAATTATTTACACAATACTACTTATAATATATTTTTATTTGAATAACTAAAATTTATTTTATATATATATATATATATATATATATATATACATTTTTGTTTTTCTAATTATAAATCCAAATTTAATAGTGTAAAATTAGTAAATAAAATGTTACAAAGAGGATAACTACCAAAAAAAATTAAAGATTTCTAAAGGAAAAGCTTTACACTTGGTTAACAAAAAACTAACTATGTCGCTCCTTCACCCCACCCCACCTTGGATCAATTGGAAAGACATCCACTAGTAAAAAAACAACATATAACGTCATGTGTATTGTAATTCGACGTAAAAGGATATAAAGCGTCGAATGCCCTAGCGTTAGACGTCAAAAGGTTAGTGAATTCAATAAAAATTTAAGCGGGAGATTGAGAATTCATTCACTTTATCTTAGCGCGGGAGACTCTCTTCTCTTCTAAAACTTTTATCGAACGAAGTTTGACGACCAACACATGTAATATTTCTTACATTTGATACAAATGCATGTTAATTAACTACTTTATGTATGATTTTCGTTTGTTTTGACCGATTATTTTCGTGCTCTTATTCTTCATAGGCGCATTCTGCTTTCTCTGTCACTAGTGAAAAACTTTATTCCGACGAATCTACCTCTTGAAGGTTAGTTTTCGTTTTGAAGAACTTATTTGTTGAACTTGTTTGTTGTTGTTTGCTTGAACTTGTTTGTTGTTGTTGTTTGATTGAACTTGTTTGTTATTGTTTATTGTTGTTTGTTGTTGATACTACGATCATACTTATTGCTTTATAAAATACCAAAAACTGAAATTTGTTATTTTTTTACTTTTCAGGTCTCGTAGAGTTGTAAAAAAGGATCATAATTAATTAAAAAAAATTGATTAACGTCGTATATTGACAAAATTCGACGTCAATTTAACGTCTCGTGATATGACGTCATTCGCGAATTCACCATTAAAAGCCCAAAATATTCGACGTTGTACGCGATTTTTGTACTAGTGATCCCCTAAGCTCACATCATTAAGGTAATTATTGTAAAAGAGAAAAAAAAAAACACAAGCAAAAAACAACACAAGA